CTATGTCTACACCAAAGGTCAGTATTAAGTCTAGAGTGTGGTTGTGGTAGTGTGTGGGCCCCTCTATGATTTGGGTGAAACCTATGGAGTCTATAATAGATGTAAATGCCTTGCTTAGTGCATCTTGAGGATTGTCAAAGTGGATATTAAAATCTCCGACAACTATTATTTTATTTGAAAGTGTTATTAGACTTGACAGAAACTCAGAGAATTCCTGTAAGAAGTGAGAATACGGCCCTGGTGGCCTGTAGACTGTAATTAGTACAACAGAATTTTTATTTGTTCCTTGATCACTTATATTAAGAAAAAGAACTTCAAAAGAAGAGAATGTATAAGCTACTTTCTCGCCTAAAGCTTTAGTATGGATGGTTGCTATACCTCCACCTCGGCCGCTTAAACGAGGGCTATGTGCATAGCTGTAGCCTGGGGGTGTGGCTTCGTTTAAACTGAAGTATTCATCGGGTCTAATCCACGTTTCTGTGAGGCACAGAGCATCAAAACTGTGATCAGTAATAATTTCATTTACAACGGCAGCTTTAGGAGTAAGGGATCTTATATTAAGCAGTCCTAGTTTTAGACCAAAGGTGCTGTCACTGCACTCTGGTATAACTGGTCTGATATTAATCAAGTTACTGAAACAAACTTGTTGTGTAAGTTGGAATAAACTAAAGCAACTTCCTAATTCTGAGAAAGGAGGACGTTTCATATTTCTGAGAAAGAAGGAAGAAGAAATCATATTTAATTAACATAATTATACATAATGTCGTGGAAATATCTGAACCCTTTAAGATCCATTTAAATATTAAAACCTTAAAGCCAGGCCAAGCTTTATATTTAATATGAAGAACCTTGTACTGAACATGGTAACCAGGGAAGTCTGTGAAGAACAGGGGTAATATGGTCAGTCTTCATCAAATAAGTGAGGATCCAAACAACATTCTCTACATACTGTAACATATTGTGGGCTTTGATAGGGAGGCCAGATAGGGGAACATTACAGTAGTCTAGATAGGATGGATATGAATGTCAAAGCATTTTGGTAATACCTCATGCTAAAGTATTACCAAAATCCCATCGATATTGATACCAAGGCCAAATGAACTAGACATCAGTGCTTTAGCGCCAATTAAAACCATTTCAGTTTTGCTAGCATTCAGTTTTAAAAAGTTCATTCTCATCCATGACTTTATATTGTGAATACATTGTTGCTGTTAGAACAAAACATTGTATATTATAATCATTTAATCATTTAATCATTTTATTTATATAGCACTTTTCATGCCGGTGGCAGCTCAAAGTGCTTTACAGACAGGTGATAAAACATAGTTATAGAAAAGATCATTAGTACTTAATTAGAATCAGAAGAAAATGAAGAAGACTAAATTAAAAGATAAACACCACAAGACATTCAGTTTTAGTTAAATGCTAATTTAAAGAGATAAAAAGTCAAAAGTGAGCACTGAGCTTGACTGTCTAATAAAAGGTGGAATTGAGTTCCACAGTTTAGAAGCAGAATAAGAGGCCTCTCCATGTTTTCTGTATTGTACAGAGGGTCTCTGTAGAAGGCCACTATCTGCAGATCTTAGATTACGTGCCGGAACATAAACAGACAGACACTCTGTGATGTAAGCAGGTGCCAGGTTGTTTTGAGCTTTAAAGACTAGTAGCAGAACCTTGAAATCTATCCTGAACGATACAGGCAGCCAGTGCAGTTCTTTCAAAATGGGAGTGATGTGATCTCTCCGTTTTGTTTTTGTTAGGATGCTGCTGCATTTTGTATAAGTTGTAAGGGATGTAGTTTTCTTAGGAAGTCCAGCAAGAAGAGCATTACAGTAGTCAAGTCCGCTTGTAACAAATGCATGAACAAGTTTCTCTGCGTCGCTCTGAGATAGAAAAGGCCGAACTTTAGCGATATTTCTTAATTGATAAAAAGCTACTTTAGTGTTTACATGTGGGGTAAAACAGAGCTCAGAGTCTAAGATCAAACCCAGGTTTTGTACTTCAGGTTTGGTAGATGAAGCCAAAGAACTAAGTTTCTCAAAAATCATTTTTCTCTGAGTTTCTGTACCATCCATCCATCCATCCATCATCTAAACCGCTTATCCTTCTGGGTCACGGTGGGGTGCTGGAGCCTATCCCAGCTGTCATTGGGCAGAAGGCAGGATACACCCTGGTCAGGTCGCCAGTCCATCGCAGAGTTTCTGTACCAACAATCAGTAATTCAGTTTTTTCATGACTTAATTGTAGAAAATTTTGCGACATCCACTGAGAAATATCTGACACACAGCTGGTTAGTCTGTCTACAAAGTCTTCATCAGCAGAAGGAATAGAAATGTATAGCGGGGGTTGTCAGCATAGCTATGAAAATTTATACTATGTTTCCTAATAACATCACCTAGAGGTAGCATGTACAAAGAGAAAAGCAAAGGCCCAAAAACTGAAGCCTGAGGGACTCCACAAGAAGTGCCAAATCTTTTTGATGAATGATTTCCAAGTGAAACGATGAACTGCCTATTACTTAAATATGATTTAAACCATTCTAAAACTGTGCCTGAGAGGCCGACCCAGTATTCAAGACACTGGAGGAAAATCTTGTGGTCAATGGTATCAAAGGCTGCACTAAGATCTAATAAAACCAAAATAGAAGGATTTTGTGCATCAGCGCTGAGCCTGAGGTCATTCATAACGTGAATCAATGCTGTCTCTGTACTATGGTTAGAACGAAAACCTCGTATAAATTGTTTGATATTAGATACGTATTTAGTTGTTTGAAAGCAACTTTTTCTAAGACTTTACTTAGAAAAGGTAGGTTTGAAATCGGTCTAAAATTATTTAGTATGGAAGGATCCATGCTACTCTTTTTTAGCAGAGGCTTCACCAGGGCATTTGGAAAAACACCTGTTGACAGAGAACAATTTACAATAGTTAAAACATCATTGTGCACACAATCAAAAACCATCTTAAGGAATGAAGTAGGAACAGGGTCAAGACCACATGTGGATGAACTTAGTTTGTTTAAAATAGTTGTGAGCTCCTCATAGTTGATAACAGAGAAAGATGTCATTACTGATGTAGGTGACCTATCAGGAACATTATAGGAGCTTGTTTGAGTCTGCTGAGCTACACCCTGTCGTATCAGGTCTATTTTATTTTGGAAATGAATTGTGAACTCTTCTCAGACTTTAGAAGATAAATCATTATGAGACGCACTAGTAGACAAGTTAGGGTTAATTAGTCGGTCTTTAGTGGAAAAAAGGATTTTGGTATGATTTTTGTGTCTATTGATTACACTAGAGAGATATGACTGTCTGGACATTTTCATGGCATTATTATAGACTGAGATCTGCGCTTTGAGAATATCATAGTGTACCTGCAGTTTAGTTTTCCTCCATAAGCATCTGATTTATGACAATTTCTCTTAAGCTGGCGTATTTCCGCATTCATCCATGGATTTTTAAGAGTGCGCGAGCTTTTCCTCCTTTTTATTGGGGCGAGAAAGTATATTGGGAGTATATAACTGATACCTGTTATATTTTTATCATAGTTATATACATGTGGGTTAGAAAGCTTGTTTATTGACCCTCGAAACAGTGACCAACCTTTTCAGCATGACTTACACTTTACCAAATAATCTTATCTTCTGAAAGTCTTGCAAGAGGCAGTTAGGCATAAGATGAGTATACAGTTTCAGCTTCTGTTTTAGGATGTGGCAACTGCTTACAGTGCTATTGAGAAAACATAATTTTGAAATCCAGTTCTAGATCTACAGTGTACAGTAGTGGACATCAGAACTGATGAAAAAACACAATTATTTATACAGTGAATAAAATCCAAAATCCTGTGAAATCCAAATTATCTTCTGTTTTAGATTCTTCAGTGGACCAGCTAGCTTAAATAACACTAATTGTGTGTATTTTTTTGTACGTACCCAAAGAGCATTCAATCACTGAAACAGTTATATCTACATTAAGATTAAGTGACCCTTATTAGTCCCACAATGGGGAAATTTCACCCCCGCAATCTAACCCATCTGTGCAGTCAAACACCACATACACACTTATAACAACACACACACAAGGGGACAGTGCGCACACTTGCCCAGAGCAGTGGGCAGCCCTATCCACAGCGCCCAGGGAGCAGTTGGGGGTCAGGTGCCTTGCTTAAGGGCATCTCAGTCACGCACTGTCGGCTCAGGGGTTCGAACCGGCGAGCTTCTGGTCACAAGGCTAGTTCCCCAACCTCCAGCCCACAACTGCCCCAGCATTAATATTAACTTTACTGAATCAACATTCGAATGTTACTTTTAAATCACTTTTGCATCCTGAATTAATCTTGAAATGGATTGTAGACTTGTATTCCACCAAACAGCACTATGCAAACTGCATTTCTAAGTCTTTGCACACTTCCTTCAAACTATGTTGCTGTGCCAGATTGGATCAATTATTAATGACAGAAGTTCTAGGACTCGAAGAATATGACACAGATTGACATTTGGCAGAACAACAGCAAAGAAGCTTAAATAGTCAGAAATTGTCAAGCTGTGTTCTTCTCTGTGGTTCTTTATATAAGTGAAAAGTAAACAATAAATAAGAGAGACAGGACAAATATTGATGCCTTTGAAGTTTGTTGTTGGTGAGGACTTTTGAGAGCACCTCAGATGGCAAAGAAAACAAACAAATGGATTGTTGAACAAATCAAGCCTCAGCTTTCACTCGAGGCCCAGACAACCAAACTAAGGCTCTTATTTTGGACATATTATGAGAAGAACCAATTTATTGGAAAGATAGTTATGTTTGGAAAAGTCGAAGGTAAAAGAAGAAGACAATCAGTTTAGACGGATAGAGATCATCAGAGGAATTCATTTATTTAATAAACACATGTTCAGTTTGTAAATTAAACAAGCCCCTTGGTTCAGTGTTTGAGTCAATTTTTACATTTACATAACCACGATGACAGGAAGAGGTGGAGGTAGGGAGTTGGGGGATGTGCTGTCCTGTAGGCGGACCTTCAGCAGAGAGGGGTGTGTGAGATTTGTGTGTATTTCAGCTGTAGTTCTGCTCAGTATTAAGCATTTATTCAGACACAGGCAGGATCAGACAGGCAGGATGGTGCAGGTGGACCTGCTGTGGATCACTGCTGCTCTTCTATCTTCACCACTGCTCACACTGTGTGACCCACTGTGAGTATATCACACACACTTTGACACTTTAAAGTAGAAGAAGTAAAAGTAGTGTTCAAAAAGACTGAATTATAAAAAGATATTATGGTTGTTATTATTCAAATTGGCTATTTTCAGTCATAAAACTGTATGTATTTAACTACATAAAAAGAACATAGACATAAAAAGAGTTCACATTTTGATCTGGGATCAGTTTATGTTTTTACGTGCTGCTAAATAGGGCAACATGGGCTGGTGAGACCCCATCAGTGGTGTAACGAAAGAATTTCTGGTGAGAAGGACTGAAACTCAGTAATGTCTTCTGGGTTTTCCAGACGCTAGAGGATGGTCCTGAATGAGCCCAAAAATAATAAGTTCCTATGTAGCCTTTGCGCAAAACTGTAGGTTGTAAATGCTTAATTATTTTTATACAGAAACATCACTTTTTAAGTACATAAGAACATATAGAGTTAATTACAAATACAAAACTTTTATATTTGCCAGCAATGTTCTGTCTGCCCCGAACATGCTGAGGGTGGGCAGCTCAGAGAATGTGTTCGTGGAGGCTCAGGATTACGCTGGAGGAGATCTCCCAGTGAGGATTGTTGTAAAGAATTTTCCACAGAAAACCATAGAGCTGGAATCTAAATCGGTGGTCCTCAGTGCTGGAAACGACTACCAGGCACTTGTAGCCATAAAGGTCAGTGCTGTTTGACTGTAGGCCAAAAATGACATGATTTTTAACCTTGATATATTGTGCGGTGCGGAAATAAACAAATCCGAAACTAAACCCTTATCTGCTTTTCAAATATCCACTCTTCTCCAAATGGTGAGGTTTACATGAACTTACATTATTCATAATACTGTAATCCAGATTCAGCAAGATGGACACTGACACTGTGTCATCAGTAATCGGTGCAGGAAGAGATTATTAGTCAGTAACATTTGCCCCTGGTGATTTTGACTAATAGAAGTTTTTTTTTTTTTAGTTTTTGCACTGATGCTACAAGGACAACGTAAGTTAAAAGTAACGGAGATTTATATGCCCCATCAACTAGCATCATGTTAACTGCATGCCTAAATCATTTCACTACTGGCTCTTGTGGAATTTTTCAGTAGTCTCTAATAGACTTGTTTATGTGATTTGTGACACTGGATAACATATATTTGTTTATAAATAATGTCTAAAGCATGGATTAAAAGTAAGAATATTAGCATCATGCATGCATGATGGTAATCACCACACTTAGTGTAAATATTTAGATAACCAGTATTTTATACAGTATCAGAAACCACACAAACAAATCTATTAGAGATTACCAACAACTCTTTACTATTTGTGGCAAGTGTGTGATGATTTAGACTTGCAGTTTGCATGAGGCTATTTTAATGGCAACATATCAGCTTCCATTCTTAGCTACATTGGCCTCATAGTTCCAGTACAAAAAACATTGGCCAGTTCAATCCAATTCAGTTTGGCATAAGAGTAAAATATGTCAAATTGAGATCTCACAAAATAAGTGTTAAAATGATTGAATCCCACAAATGAGCAGGTCACTTTTCTGTGACTCAGATTGCTGAAAACAGGGATGTCTTCACTGATGACCCCTTAGAGAAGCAGTACGTGTACCTGCAGGCCCACTTTCCCACCAGTGTGCTGGAGAAGGTGGTCTTGGTCTCCTTCCAGTCAGGCTACATATTCATTCAGACAGACAAGAGCATCTACACACCCAGCAGCACAGGTACAACACTCTGAACTCACTAGTGAAAAATGTACTGATACAAATGAAATCAAATTGTACCAATGCCCAATATGTATTGTACAATGGAATCAGCCAAAAAGTCATTCCTTAATCATCACTGCTTTAATTAAGCTGAAGATGATTCTATTCAGTCTTTGATGGTGAAACTCAGAAGTTGTCATTATGTGATTAGTTTTGGGTTTAAATTTAACTTTTTTACTTTTATAAAAAAAAATTAGACAGTATGTGTGTTTACATCTTCATCTGTTCCATCCTTCTCCAGTTAAATACAGAGTCTTCTTAGTGAGATCTGATCTGCAGCCATTTGACCAGACTGCAGTCTCTGTTGAAATCATAGTAAGTGCTCAAATCTCAACTCTAAACTCTTAAAAAAAATTCACCAAGTGTTTATGAAATGTAATTGTACCCTAATCCAAAGGCCTTCTTCATTAATCTGATTACCTTCCATTACTTTTGGATTATTTCTCTAACTTTGTTTAATGAAAAATGAATAATTAAATGTAACAGGTTTTGCAGTTTTTAATATTATTATTGCTAGAACCTTATGTGAGGGTGTGAGGTAACCCGGATTTATTTGAAGTCTACAGACCAGGGCAAGAGAGAGAAACGCTCGCACCAAGGATGCTTCAGAAAAGAGAATTTATTGGCTAAATATCAAACTACTTTTGCACTACATTCAATGATAAACAATAGAAAATAAAACAAGAAAACAAAACAAAACAAACAAAGTGATAATAATGAAAGACAAAATAGCTTGAGTAAGTTAGAGTGACCCGGGGAGCCTTGGCCGGCCCCTGGGACGAGGAGCGTGCTTATCCAGACGCTGACTATGAAAATCAACAATCAACCCCGGGTCCAATATATCTTCAGCAGGCACCCAGCACTGCTCCTCAGGGCTGACAAATATTTCAATTGATCCCCCCTCTGCCTGGAATCCAGCTTCTGGCGAACAGCATAAACTGGGGTCTCGTCAACATCCTCTGGGGTGGGGGTGATAGGATGGGGTGCATCAGCGGGTAAAGCGGGTATTTGGGGTGTAATTTCTTACTTACCTCTGCAAACCTGAAGTCCCCTGTCAATAGCCCAGAGTGAGCCCAAGTGATTAGATGATATCTGAACTGGGCTGACACATAGATCTTGTGAGTTGGACACTGATCAGGTACAGTCATTTTTTCCTTCTCTATTTCTTCATCTGTCTCTCATCGAATAGAGGAAATCTTTACACTGGAGGCAATATACTTTCAAGTTCTTGTGAGCTTTCTGCCTCATCCTGAGTTTGGTATATTCTAGATAAGGAATCTGCTTTGGTATTTTGAGAGCTGGGGCGATAAAATATAGTATAACAGTATAAGTTAAATCAGAGAAAAGAGGGCTGTCAATAGTGCCACAATACTATTGAAATTTTGAATAAAACGTCATTAGAAATTAGCAAACCCAGAAAGTCCTGGAGCTCCTTCACAGAAGAAGGGCAAGGGCAGTTAAATACAACTTCTACTTTATGGTCATCCATAGTTACATCATTGGCACTTATGACATAACCCAGAAAAGACACTGGCAAGCCGGTAAAAAGTCAAAAACTGGAAAATACAAAAATACAAGCAACCAGAGCAAAAGGGCAAACACAAAGAGCAATATCCAATAACAGGCAGGGAGTTCAAAAACACAAGTCAGGAAACACAGTAAAGAAACGCTCAGTAAACCAGTGAATGGCAATACCTCACAATGAGGAGAACAAACCAGAGTCCTTTTAAAGTCTGAGGCAAACAAACACAGGTGAGTTGCGTTAATACTCAGGTGACTGAGAACGAGGCAGATGTGTGTGATTGGTGGAAGGAGTGACATCATCGGAATTGGAATCATGGGAAATGGAGTCCTGGAGAGTGTTAGGCAAGGGAGGAGAACCCGGAAGCGTGACACACACACTTTCCAGGGGTCGGCACCGAAGGTCTAGGTGGACATGCCTGACAGTCACGTAGAAGGTGACAAGAACTGCCAAAGTAGAAACATAATCCTTTCTTGTACTCAACAAAGTTTCTCTCCAGATGAAAAACTGAGATGTATCACATGGCATGGGTTCTTCACATTCCTTAACTTCACCTGCCAATGCCACTTTAATTCTGTTCCTTGTACTAGAACATTTACAATCATGCATGAGCTGATCCAGACAAATAGCTAAGGTAATAAGCTGGCCTAAGTTCAAATGATCATCTCTACAGTTTAGGTCACCAAGTATGTCCAAGTTAATTCCTTGGCAAAACATAATCGTTACAGCTGTTCATTCCAGCCACTTCCCACCGCCAAGGTGTGGAATTCTAGTGAATAGTCAGAAACACAGCGATTGCCTTGTCGAAGTTTCGATGAAAGTTCACCACTGGTCTTTCCCTTATAAGGGTGATCAAAAACAAGATGAAAATTCTTTAAAAATTAGGCCAGAAAAAGGTTCCAAATTCTAATGCTTTGTCACACAAATGTGAGATTACAAAAAAAAATTGCCCAATCAGAGCTAGGAGGAGAATTTTAAAATAAAAAATTGCACACTGTTACAAAAATCCATGATAATTTTCAGCGTTGCCATCAAACTTATCTGGCTTGCTAACAAAACAAAAAAAAGGGTCCTTTAATTCAACAGGTGGGGACATATGTTTCAGCTGGCAACAAGTTATTTAACCCTAACTGATGCAGTGAGTAGCTTCTCATTTGTTGAAAGACACATCCTGTGGTCGTGGAAAAGATGTTAATCTGATTCAGAAGGGTCAAATTATTGGCATGCATCAAGCAGAGAAAACATCTAAGGAGATTGCTGAAACGACTAAAATCGGGTTAAGAACTGTCCAACGCATTATTAAAAAGTGGAGGAAACATCATCTTCGAGGAAGGAATGTGCTCGGAAAAAAATCTTGAATGATCGTGATCGGCGATCACTTAAACGTTTTGGGAAATCAAATCGTAGAAAAACAACAGTAGAACTCAGGGATATGTTTAATAGTGAAAGTAAGAGCATTTCCACATGCACAATGCGAGGGGAATCAAGGGATTGGGACTAAACAGCTGTGTAGCCTTAAGAAAACCACTTATCGATGCCACAGCCAATGTGTGCCATAATCAAAGCTAAAGGCGGTCCAACGAAATATTAGAGTGGGTGACCTTTTTTTGGGCCAGGCAGTGTATTAGCGGCTTGCTTACTCTTACCAAGGGCTTGCAGCTGGGCAGTTAACTCCTATACATTAGTGACCAAATGAATTAGTTGGGATTGTTTTTTCTGCCTGCTGTTGTGTAAGAGTCACTAGAGATTGAGTAATGCTAATACCTGTTGGTGTTGTCCAAGCAAATAGCCCTGATTGGCGATAGCCTTTTGGAAAGTCTCCTGTTCTGCTGTCTGCATTCGAGACAAGGTATTCTGTAACATAACCAAACCAGTCAGACACTCAAACCTTGAAAATATAACACTGTGCAGACATGCATACAACACTGTGCACACAGTAGAAGTTTGATGCAAGACTTTTACCTTCTACATGAAATGTGCTCAAGTGTACTCTTTTACAGTTAAAATGTAATTGTGACAGTACAATTCTTGAATGGAAAATTCTCTTAACATTAATGAATAGTTTAAAATACATATAACTCAAATATACACCAACCTATTTAATAAAAATAATTTTGCCATCTGTAGAATTATATGACAAACAAAAGAATAAAATTGGCAGCAGATTTTTAACTAAGTATAAATACCAGCTAGAAAATAAGCAGCTGTAAAAGTGGAAGTGGAAAATGGAAAACAAAATAGAACTGAAAATAAAAAAGGCCCATCACCAGGAAGGGGTAAGAAGAACACATTTGGTGTGAATAGCTTGCTAAAAGTTTGTCTGCATTGATTATATGTCAGCTCAAAGAGGAGAGGAATGTAAACACTCTGAATTTTCTGTGAAAATAATAAGTAACTAATGTTAGGGGAGCAGAAGTACTGGGGACTAAGATAACAGGTTAATTAACTTATCATCATTCTGTTAATGATAATGGGTTAATAATTTAATTTTGGAAAAAAAAAAATCTCCTATGGATGAGCATATCAGCTCAGGAATGACAGCTACAGCAGCAGCCTTAAAAAACTCAAATCTCGGTTTCTATTTGTGGAGGTGTTAGCAAGACAAATTGTAGCGTAGTAAGAGGTCTAAACCACCAGCAATTCCAGTTCAGTGGTGCTGACCAGAGACATGTTTAGAACATACAGAGTGAAATCGAGGTACTGATGCTGGAGTGACATAAAGACAAAATTTTTGTTGACTTTTGTTGACTTTGTTGACAGAATGATTGTTGACTTGTAGAGGGTGTAGGTGACTATAAATGTATTTGACTCCTTAACACAACAGCATGATTTGAAGGAGGTGTAGCACCATGTGCAGGGCATTTAAGATTGCTTTCATACATTTTGACTGGTGGACATTTGGTACATTTAGGTGAGGTCATTTTAATTGTACATTGGTGTGGTCCGTAGTATGCCTGAAGGCTGTTGCTACTAAATGCAGACTCAATTATTCAGGACAAGTGTAAAAAACCCAAGAAAGGGGTATATTGGTTTAATGGGGTGCTTGCAAATGATCGGAACAAAGTTAAAAAGAATGTCAATAAGTTTAGGTGTTTGAACATTTCACATATCATAAATTATAATTCTAACTTTATTTTTCAAGAATCCTCAAGGTATCACAATTGAACGGGACATGTTCTTCTCCAAACAAGGGACTCTGACTGGGAAGTATGATATCCCTGAAGTTGCCAGGTTAGTCCACCTTTCAATAGTATGTGTACTATACTGATTATAACAGAATTGGCCATTTTTTTACACATCTGTGTGTCTTGATATAGACATCATGTCTGGGAGACTTATTTGTCTGTATGATGACAAATGGCATTTTTTGCATGTTCTGACCTGAAATGTTACTTGTTCTTCTCTCAAGCCCTGGAATATGGACTGTAGCAGCACGTTACAAGAACTTCCCACAGAAGAACTTCACTGCTGAGTTTGAAGTGAAAGAATATGGTGAGATTCATATATTCAGACAATAAAAACGTACCTGCTGTGTTTCTACATATATACTGACTTATGTCTTGTTTTGCAGTGCTGCCAACCTTTGAGGTAACCTTAAATCCATCAAAGTCTTTCTTCTATGTTGATGATGATCGCCTTCAAGTGGACATCACTGCCAAGTAAGAGTAATATGACTTTAACTACAACCTTTCATAGAAATATATTTTACAATTTTCCTGAAAGAAATGGTGGTTGAGGAAGATTTCAAGCATTTTACTACAGAATAGTGGAATAGATAATGACCATCCATGACCAGGAGACCACATAAGAATATAATGTAACCAGTGTGAACTATGTGAAGGTATCTGTTCGGGAACAAAGTGGAAGGAAGTGCATTTGTGGTGTTTGGTGTGATGCAAGGTGACAGCAAGACCAGCCTGCCAGCCTCTTTAAGAAGAGTGACAGTGAGTTTTTCACACTGTAAGAATATATATCACAAATGAAGTTTTACCAAATTTGAGTGCCTTTATTTCTTCAACTTGCTGAATGCCTTTTCTGTCATACATCATTTTTCTTTAAAGCATTGTTTTATTTTTTTTTACGTAGATCAGGGACGGAGAAGGACTTGTAACACTGACTCAAGAGATGATCCAGAAAACTTTTCCAGACATTAAACAGCTGGTTGGAAGCTCTTTGTACATTTCAGTCAGTGTTTTAACAGAAACTGGTAAGAGTCAGTCATCTGGGTTTTTGAGTGTATGTGTGCGTGTCAGTTGTCATTTACTCATTGTGCTCTGCAAAGTAGTTCATGTCCCATTTCATTGATATTAGAAATGTTAACTTTTTTAACAAATGAGATCATTACTGTAATAGTTTTTATGCTTAAATATAAATGTTTGTGTTTCAGGTAGTGAAATGGTGGAAGCTCAGAGGAGGGGCATTCCGATTGTGACGTCCCCTTATACCATCCAATTCAAAAGAACACCCAAATTCTTCAAACCTGGAATGCCTTTTGACGTCACGGTATAAACCATATATACACTCACATTCTACTTTATTAGAAGGGGTATGAGTAGAACTTATGTTCTACTTTTATTCACTGTCTATTTTATTAGAATCATTTACCTTCTATGACCAGTCTTTAGCCACTTCATTAAAACCCCTACCTTGTTCTACCACTCACTGGCCACTTTATCGGAAACACACACACACAGACACACACAAATCCATATATATATATAAACACCTACAGCTCTTCTACATAGGTGTATAATAACTGACAACAAATCAGGGCCTGTGCAATGTATCAGCCCCTCTAACGTCCCTCACTCCAGTTTATCATTGGTCAGTTTTGGCTGTAGGACCACTGCTGCCCAGATGTTATTTTAGTAGTAGACCAGGGGTAGGGGGTACAGGGTTTTATTTTTTTTTACCTAAGTCAGTTTCACTGCTTAGTCGAGTGTGTCTCTCCACCAAAAATATCCAGCCAAGAATGTCTGTGTGGCTACAACTGTGATAGACAATTTGTGTGACTACTACAAAATGTGCATCAACAGATGAGCTAAAGTCTTATGTATGTTACCAGGGTGGAGCTACATATCTCTGTATAATCTTGTACACTTACATTGAAATTAAAATGAATAATTTTCTTATAAACAACTGTACAGAATTCTTTCAAAGCAGTCCATTCACTGTTTATCAAAAGAAACAGGCAATCATCTTATGAGACAATGTCACTAGAATGTTCAGAGTATTAGTTCCCTTCTGCTGAAATTAAGAAACACATTTTCAGATCACTATTGTTTACTGGGGACTGATTCCTGAAATGCAGTTCAAATCTTTGCTTTCAATCTATAAAGTAATAGGGTTTTCTGATCCAGAGATTACTTACATTTAATAATTAGCTTCATTTGAAACATGAATCTATTCAGGATTTGTGATTCGAATAGGTTTATGTGACAAATCCAGACCAGACACCTGCTGAAAACGTTGATGTTATAGTCAACCCTGGAGGTGGGAGGGGTCGAACCAAGGCCAATGGCATGGCAAAGGTCACAGTCAACACCGAAGCAGGAGCCAGGAGTCTACAAATTAATGTGAGTCTCATACCATTCCTTAACTTTAAGGTGGCTCCTTCAATGGTATCAATGGAGCAGTCGTGGGGATGATAAGGGGGAAGTATTCAGAGTATTCAGTGGGGCTTGAGTGGTTTCTGGGCTTTCCATGGGAGTTGAACTGATTCTACATTCTGGGGATGTGAGACAGTGTGGAAAACAGTACTCTGACCAAGCTGTGATTTCCCTATCTGAGATTTGGGGATTGTGTTTCTGTAACCAGGGCAGACCTAGAATGATTGGGAATTCAGATGAGTCAATGATGAGAAATGATAGCAGTTCTTGGTGAAGAAAACTAGTCTCGAGTAAAACAGGTTCAGTGACGAAGGTGATGGGATCCACTCCAACATTTCCTCCATTGAACGCAGCAACCTTTAGGGATGTCTGAAGATCTTGTACTGGGATGTGTAGTTTAGCCACCACGTCAGAATGGACGAAGTTCCCCTCAGCTGCGGAGTCTATTAGGGCTGTAACACAAAGATAACACTGACTTCGAAAGCAACCACTTTGTGGGAAAACTTACCATCGGACAGTCATATAAAACATGACTAGCTGTGCCACAGTACATGCATACACCTCCATAAAGCTGACAAAAGCAGGAGCAGGCTTGACCACCTTGAGATCTCTCAGTTGAGTAGTGATGTCTTTGAGCTGCTCAGCTTGTTGCTGGGTTAAGTTGCCAACTGAGTGAGTAACATCTGCCAGAACCTACTGATGATGCCCCAGGAGCTGACCTTGGTTACTCAGGACCTTCTGAACCTCCTCCATGTCTGCCATCTGCATGATGGCAAAGTATTCTGTAACAGTGGCAGACAGAACCAGACGCTCTCAGCAGAGGCTTGAGTTCAAAACTTTAATATCAGAACGACAATCCAAACTCACAGTCGGTAAAAACACGCAGAAGGTCGAAAATCAGAGAATGAGAACAGAACAAAAGGGCAAGACTAGAATCGTGGTCACAAACAGAAAAAGGGTTACACACAGAGTAGCAGATAATGGTACAATGTAAACACTCGTACACACATAGGACTGATGATACTTTGCAAAGTAACTAAGCTAAAGCCCAGGCTTATATACTAAACTAACAACACAAGAAAACAAGGAACAGGTGTGAGTGATTAGATATAGATGGCTCTCAGAGAGTCTTGTGTCACGTGGAAATGTAGTCCTGAGCAGCAGCGTTGGCTGCAATGTCAGGAGGAGGTGTGACATTAAAAAATATTAGCAAAAAAATACAAAAAGGTTCTTCATTGGTCTACAGGCTACTGCACAACAGATTCATGGAAGGGGCCAAAGCAAATTATGTTTTTGTGTCTTACAGGTAAAAACCAATGATCCAGCCATATCAAACAACAGACAGGATGAAAAGCAAATGACAGCTGAAGCCTACATTACTAAAGGAGGCTCCAACAATTACCTTCACATTGGTGTTGATGCTGAAGAACTGAAAGTTGGTGATAATATGAAAGTTAATCTGAACTTCGTCAGAAGCCCTGGTGTCCAAAATCAAGATTTCACTTACCTGGTTGGTACTCTTCCAGAAAACACAGATAAATACACACATAAAATGTTTAAGAAATTAAATTAGGTCCTTTTTTTTACTGATTTTTAGTGACTTTTTTTAAGTGGAAACGAAAAATCAATTGTCATTAATAAAGTATTAGATTAAAGCAACGTTATGGGAGAATTCCCCCTACAGTTGCAGCATGTATTTTACTTTTACATCACTGGTGTAAATACATGTTATGCTTTAAGCCTCCCCTCATGGACAGCTGTACATGTGCATTTGTTGACATGCTGAAGGATACAGTATCTGACTCTGCGTGCGCGTCACGTAGGCATGTGGAAGCTGCAGATTACACTTGCGCTTTCAGTTGTTTCTATGTGTAAACAACCAAAATTGTGAGTGTAATCTATAGCGTCCCTATGCCTTTATGACGCACGCACATGCAAAGAGAAGTCAGATTCTACCGGGGAATCATAAGTTGGCAGAAAACCAGCAAAGACAAATCATAAGAGAAAGAACCATGTCACTTACAAGGTACAGTAATATTACAGGAGGTTGCAAACTTTTAAGGCTTATTTGGCGTGAGATTGAGAAAGACTGACCAAACATTTTAGCATTCTTTTCATGCTGAATGAGACTGAGGTTAGAGGTTTTGGTATCTGGAAAAACTACAAAACTCAGTGAGACAAGGATGACACAAATAATGTTGCACCTTACATGGCAGCCTATCCCAAATAACATTGTGCCCAATCCTCCAAAGGTCCATAGCGCTATTGCATGACTCCTTTCTCCCTAGTATAAGTCAGTGTACCATCAAAATGATTTTAAAGCATTTCAATCATTAATTAAAAAATCAATTTTTCATTAAAATATCCACCATGAGATTTGACAAACATTTTGCAATTAAGAAGCATTATGGATATTAATTTTATTATAAAATTATTCCAGATGCTGTATACTATGCCACAACTACAAATTATTTTAAACTTATGAGATTGCTCAGACTCAGAATCACTGTATTTCACCATGCATGTTGCACATTACGAGGAATCGTGTCTTGATGCTTACTCGCATACATGTCATTTCACAAATCTTTTCTGCCTCTTTTTCTCTCAGATCTTTAGTAAAGGACAGATTGTCCAAATGAACAGATTTAAAAGGCAAGGACAATCTCTAGTGACTCTACCAGTACTTATCACCAAGGACATGCTTCCTTCATTTCGTGTGGTGGCGTATTACCATGTCAGAGACTCTGAGGTTGTAGCTGACTCAGTCTGGGTTGATGTAAAGGACACCTGTATGGGAACGGTAGGTCATCTGCAGTATTCTCATGTTTTTTTAATAAAGAAAAAAACATCAGAGATCGTAATGGATTTCATTGCTGGCTTCAAGGTCAGAGCAATAACAACAGTGCAGCACAGTTTTTTTTAACCTGGTGGTTGAGCCACCCTGGTATTGCTCAATTGGCTTTATGGCCAAAATAGACATTTCAACAAGCGTAATTTAAAATGTGACACATATGATTATTGCCAATTATTTGCAAAAATAAAACATTATATTTAGGGCAAGCTTGTTGATTGGTCTTGCAAAGAGGTGGACTAGGTAACTAATCAATATTAGTTCAAGTCTGTGTGAAGAAGTCTGTGAGGCCTCTCTTGTATCAGTTTTACCCATCATAGATAAATGGTTAAAAACAGGGTTTTTCAAAAAGAAAGATCACAGAGCTGGGCAGTCTACAAGTGAAGGGGCCACTATGCCCCAGTCTGAAAAAACTGAAAACAAAGCAAAAACGGCTAGGAAAATATAGCAGTATAGAGCTAGGCTTCTATGATTATGCATCCAATCTTGTGGAATTTTTTGAGAACAAACTTCAAGAACTTCTTAGAACTGTTTGGCCTTTGACAAAAAGAGCCCAGTCTTTGAACTTTCAGACCATTTCACTGATTTTGCTTGCTAAATTGACTTAAATTGGCTTAACTTTCAGACACTTTAAGTCACTTGAATGGACTCAATCTTAGCCTTCAAGGCAACTCAGTGACTACTTTTCTTGTCCAAAGCAAAATCAAAGCTGGACATATGGGCCAGGCATGCAGACCATTCATATTTTGAGATGTTCGAGAATCTCTCTGACCTACCTTCCGACAGTGATTTTTTATTTTTTTTTACGTGAAAAGGTTCCAGTTTCCCTTGACAAATTGTTCAAAAGTTTTCTAGGCAAATTGTTTGCTTCCTGGTAGATCAGAATATCTTTCAGAAAGGCAGAAAGATTTCTCATGAAGATTCCTTAAAGTAATGCTAAGATGGGTATTGTTGAGACTAGATTTTTTTTTTTCAGCACTTGTCTCACAAAGTATGGGATTGTCATGCAGTTGACCTGTGGCTCTTAATCGTCTGTTCCAGATTCTGAAGAACCAAGCAGCTCCTGGCTGACTCGCCAATTGTTAGATTTTAAAGTATACCCAGTGAAGTTTCTGAGTTTAAGTAACTTTGGGAAAAGATGTATATTTATTGAATATGCCTTCTCACAGAGATGTTAACAGGTTGACTGTTTCAAAAACAAATTACTATGATGTTACACCAAAACAAAGGAAGCACAAACAGAACAAGACATTCTGAGAGAAATAGAAGGCTCAAGTGGAACACATTAAGAGTACCTATACAGAATATTATGAAGTTTAACCTCTCTCCCACAATTTCTTTATATTAATCAAAATTCTCTTAAATTGAGTGTTCGAAACATCAGAAAGTCACAACTATGAGTAACCTACCCAATTGAAATTGACATTTTATTTAGGGATCCTACATAAATACCATCACAGTATTACCATAGTAGTCTTCCAAAGGCATCTTTCAGAACTCCTGAAAGTTATGTTCTAGAGGGAATCTTTCACCTGGTTCTGTTATCTTTATACTGGAGAATTAATTATATTGACCTGCTTTCCACCCTAGTTGCGAGTGGAAGTAAAGGAACCCAAGGGATCATATGAACCTGGGGAGCGGTTTGGTCTTAAAATTACTGGAGATCCTGGTGCCAAGGTTGGTCTTGTAGCTGTGGACAAGGGTGTCTTTGTCCTCAACAAGAACAGACTCATACAGGGCAAGGTAAATTGTTACCAGCAGAACTGATAATTATCTAAAATAAACTGTAGTTAATGGCTTGTTTTCCACCCCACTGGTCTAAATGATTGTTTACATTTCCAACAATAGATTTGGGACCTCATTGAGAAGCATGATACTGGTTGTACAGCTGGCAGTGGTAAAGACAGTATGGGGGTTTTCTATGATGCTGGTCTGCTGTTTGAGTCAGACAAAGCAGGAGGAACCAACTCTAGGACGAGTAGATATTTCACTTTTTCCAAGCAATGATGTGATAACAATGCAAATTACAACATAAAACGAAACTGGAAATGGTTTTCTATTAGTTTGTCAAAATGATAACAATGATCTGTTCTGAAATTACATTGAAACAGCATCCATTTAAGTGTGGAACCTTGCAGAGCTTGATATATTTTACGTTTCAAGAGTGCAACCAAAAATAATGGACATTTTTTTCTTGTATAGCAACTGACTGCCCCGCTCCACCAAAGAGGAAGCGAAGAGCTACAACTGTTCTACAAATCATACACACACTGAGTAAGAATTCTGGATTTGAATAACTAATTGTAGTTGTAGAAATAAATGTAGACTCTAAATGCTGTCATGTTTTATGAAATATGCCTGTGTCACGGATCTTCTACAGATAATCGTTGATTTTCATGGCATTCTTAGACACATTTTTGTCCTTCTCTATCACTGATCTTATTACCTTTCTTCCTCCAGCTGGAAAATACAGTGGTGATCAAAAGAAATGTTGCGCAGATGGACTGAGGAAGAATCGGCTGGGCTACACATGTGAACGGAGAGCTACATTCATCACTGATGGTGCAGAATGTGTCCAAGTCTTCCTGCACTGCTGCAAGGAGATGGAGGCACACAGGCTGGAGAATACAGAAGAGGAAATGCTGCTGGCTCGCAGTATGAACCTACTTTGCTCTGAGTCTTTGTTTGAGTTGTGTGAGGTCTTTAAAGAAGTTTAAAACACTGAATGCGGTTCCCTAATAAAATGTATTTTCCCTGAATGTAAACCGGTATTGTCAACGAGTTTCCATTTATTTTTATCAGTCAATCACTCATAGGATAAAGTTGAATAAGTCATTCTCATTCATTATTTTAAAACCTTGCCAAGCTCTTTCCTTCATCTGCTTGTTACATTAATTATGTGTGTGTGTGTGTGTGTGTTTGTACATGCTCACACAGGTGAAGAAAAAGATTATCTACACTCAGATGAAATTACCTCACGTACACAGTTCCCTGAGAGCTGGCTGTGGGAGGACAAGGTGTTGCCAGGCTGCCAAGCAGATCAATGGTAAATGCAAAATACATATGCATTTTTTCTTACTACTGTGTTTAGTCTTTGTCCAATTTAATCTTTAGCCAATCATAAATGGTAGAAATTAAGAAATGCAGTTATTTTAGATTCATATATAAACTGGCGCATTTCTCCCTTTTTCCAGTGTGACAACAACCTTCAACATGGACAATAACTATTTGAAAGACTCCATCACCACCTGGCAGATATTAGCCATCAGTCTGTCTAAGACCCATGGTCAGTGTCCAGTTTCACACAGTTCTCACATTTGACCTTCCAAAAAATTACATTTTGTAAATGTTGATAACAAATTGCCTCTTAAGTTTTAAAACCCCCACAAAAATTAGTGTGCTATGGCAAACATGAATGAAATTTGCAATGGCTGGTGATTGTAGAATATGATGTTTCTCTTTTACTCTTTGTATTTGTAGGTATCTGTGTGGCTGATCCTTTGGAAATGATTGTTAAAAAGGATTTCTTTCTGGACCTGAAGTTGCCTTACTCAGCAGTGCGTAATGAACAACTAGAAATCAAGACCATTCTGCACAACTTCTCTAATAAGAAACATAAGGTACATTTCTTAAGCTTTCCTTAGTGCAAAAGCATAAATACTGACAGATGGTTTTACACATTTATTTATACACAGCTTTTATACAATATTCAGTGTACAAATTGTGGACATTGAAGACAGGCGTAACAACCACTGCTTTGTCAGTGTACCAGAGGGCAGCAAGAACAATGGTATGATTTGACTTTTACAAGGAATTCTGCCACAGATGCTCGCTATTGCCTCTCCAGCCATTGGTTGGGACGTTATGCGAGCTCAGAGGGCTCTAGTTCTGTGCCCCCTACCTAACGAACAGCTACATCCAGTCATCACCAAGTTCATGCACTTAGGTCAGGAACATGATTATGCGTGATGCAAGACAAAAGAAACAGCTTCAGTGGGGTGTCATTATGGTGTCCCTGATTTTTCCAAGGCTTCACAACCCAGAGTGCCTTCAAGGAATGCAAGGCAGCCCTGTATGACTGGCGCATCAGTTTTTTCTACTCTTCACAACAACACTAAGAATTGACAATGTGGAGGGTTTCAAATGTTTCACTGATCTCAAGAAGGCATGCCGTTCATTTAGAGTTTAGTTTTTTTCTTGTGGATCGCCAGGGTTTGTTCATTGTTGTAATGTAGTAGGCCTGTTCATAACATTAGCTTACAGGTACTAGAGTAAGGAACTGGACCATGTTAGGTCTGTAAGATATATGGGAACCCTCTGTTACTTCAATAACAATGTGTCTAACTGCACAATATTAAGTTTATATAGATAAAATTACTCTCAGCTACCATATGATTTCCATAATCGCCACTGCACTGGTGCTGAGTCATCCACTAGTCATATAATGTCCCCAAGACTAAGATCCTTCTCAGGATTGATCCGTTCTTATCTACATTGCAAGTCTGGTAAATATTCTTTAGTCTGCCATATACTGTACTTGATGCCATCTATGCCTAGAATGGACATTGTTTTTGTTGAACAAAGCAGGTGGTATGGAGAGTTTTGTTTTCAACAGTAACAGATGATTCAGGATTAAAGCCTCCAGGTTATTGGCATCATTGGACACTTTAGTAATAGGCCTGCTATGGATGATGGCTTCGACTTCACGAAAAAAATGTGTAAGCCCTCGTCTGGAGTGTTAATTACATTTGTATTTACAGCATTTAGCAGACACTCTTATCCAGAAGTACTTACAAAAGTGCTTTGTTGCACAATATAATACAAAAACAGTTTCAGTGCTGTAAAAAGAGATGAGTCTTCAGTCTGCGTTTGAAGACCATGAAAGAGTCTGCTGTTCAGACCAGTGGGAGTTCGTTCCACCACCTGGGTGCCAGGACAGAGAAGAGTTTTGATGCTTGTCTTCCACGCATCTTGAGCAAGTTGAAGTAGTCAAGCCTTGAGATGACAAGAGACTGAATGGTCACCTGTGGGTGGCCTCTTGAGTGAGAAAGAGTCAAATCCTCTGAATGTTGTACAGGAGAAACCTGCATGACTGAGTCAGGTTCACTATATGAGCTGAGAATGATAACTGGCCATCCAGAATCACACCAAGACTTCTTCAGATGCAACAATCAAAGAGTTTAAAATGAGATGGCAAGATCATGATGAGGACCTGTAGTTCCAGGGATGAATAGCAACTCAGTCTTGCTAGGATTGAGCTTCAGGTGGTGAAAAGATGTCTGTCATACATGCCGAGATTGGAAACCTGGGCATCAGAAGGTGGGAAGGAAAGCATTAGTCGGGTGTCATCAACATAGCATAATTTTGAAAGGGCCAATTTAATCAACATTGACATTTGTAAATGGTGGCTCATTAGGCATTCACCTGCTGCTTGGAAGGTATGCCTTATCTGCTTGCCTGCATGACCATGCTGCTATCTGCAGACCTAGTTCTGAGTGAACAGATTTTAGAATAAGCTGTGTGATGTGAGAATCTTTTTGGCATAGCTGATCTATGCATCCTACAACCAGCCTTTAGTATGCTGTCCTGCAAAATGAATCTATGAATCCATACAATGGCTCTTTTCAGTTTGTACCAATCTTAGAAGCATTGGCAGAGCTGAGAAATAGTTTCTGAGATATCTGTGGCAAACATGGCACACAACGCAGTCTCCTTAACCTTTGGCTCAGTGACAGAAAGCAGGCCTGTGTTGTCTGGAATGTCTAGCCACTCTATCTCTGGCTTTGCCAGGATGTCAGGCCCCACAATCCATGTATTTGACCTATTCATGTGATCAGCTTGTTTCTGTGAGTTACATATCTACATTTAAACACAGATGAAAGCTCTCTCATGGCATTAATTGCATTAGTAATGCAAGTCTGGAACCTGGTACCACCATTGCATATGTATTTCAGCCTAGATATGCTGTCTGTCCAAAACACAGACTTCTTAAGTATCCTTAAATCTCACCAAAATTTGATGGTTTCACACACCTGTCCACCTTAAATTCTGTCAGTGTATGAGGACTTTGAGGATCCACTACTTGACAAGGTTCTCAGGTGTGTGTGGTCATCCCATCCTTGTTTCGCTCTGCACAACTCCTGCAGAATGTTTTTCATAGGCAGGATGATGAGGGGATAGGCACAGAAGATCATAGACAGAGCTGAGCATGAAAAGCACTCCTCTTTTTGTAAACTAATTGTTTTGAATCACAGCTCTGAACTTCAGAGCACCACTGGACACCCAGGGCCCTCTCTATTGGTAATCTAGGTCCAAGTCTGACTTCAGTAGTTCTCACCTCATGAGGCAGAGATACCAGCACCACCTGGCTGTTTGAAATCCACTTATTTAGTTTGAACCCTGCAAAAGTACACATAGCACTGAGATCCTTAGCCATGTCCATTGCATGAGGCGTTTTCTTTGCTTATTTTAAGCAATCTTCAATGTATAATTTCCTAAAGACAGTATTTGTGACCCCAGATGTGAACTTTTCTTGGTTGGCCAGTGCACACTTTTGTCATGCATAACTGGCACAGCTTGGTGAAAAAGCTGTACCAAACAAATTAAGTACCATAACTCCAGCATTTCCTGTTTGATGTCCTTGGGGCCACTAAAGAAACCTCAGCAAGCCAGAGTCTTCAGCTGGAATCCTTACCTGATGAAACATGCCTTCATTTCGACCATAAAGGCAACGGGTTCCTGTCTGAATCTGAATAGGATGCCAATCACTGAACTAGTCAAACACAACTCTCAGTGGGGTGATACACCCCATTGAGTGGTATGTACCAAATCCTGTTGTGTTTCTTGACAAGATCCTCCTCTGACATCTTCACAGCATGTCCTTGCTCCAGCATCTTGCTCATGAACTTATGAGTATTCCTCATTAAATTTCTTGTTAAGGAATTTCTGTTGTGAGCTCTCTGAACATCCGCTAACCATCTGGAAACATCTTGTCTTTTTTTTTAAGCAAATGCAGATTGTCTTTTTTTCTTAAGCAAATGCAGCAACGTCTTTGATTACCTTTCTCCATGCTCATTATCATAGTCTATCAGCACCATTTTCCTCTGGTACAGTTACAATTCTCAGTGTTTAGACAAATATGTTCCTAAAACTTTTCTCATTTGGCCAGCATATTTAACATCAAACATGCTGTTTTCTGAGCCCAAAGCACACTGTAAATTCAGAAGTCATTGTTGAATGTTTTTCTCCTTACCGCATTTGTTGTTCATGAACGCATCACATTTCACCTGGCCTTGAAGAGTACTTTTCTGACTAAATATAGTGTCTCAGTGCGACCTTTTCCCTGTTTCTGTTTCATAAGTTTTTGACTTGTGAAATGTTTGTGAATCTATTTTCCAATAAGCGCAACACAAAGGGAATTCATATAATTCTCGATTCATTTGATTCACTTGCTGGACATGAGTGTTGTAGTAAGGTGAGTAAATCAGAATGTCATCTATACATATCTATATCTATATCTATAACTTTGTAAGTACATCTGGATTGAGTCTGTTTCGAAATGCTACTAGGAGCACTTCCTAAGTTGCGGAAGTCCAGAGCGTAGGTTGACACCAAGTGATTGCCTTGTTTGAGTTTGCACAAAAGTTCTCCGCTTGAGCGACCATCATGAGGATGATGAAATACAGTCTTAAAGTCTTTTAGAAATTGTTCATATGTCATGTCTTGTATACTAGACCTTACAGCTGTAGCCCACTCTAAAGCTTTGTCTAAAAGGAGTGATATAACAATCAGTGCAATATAGTGTGATATGATCAGTACTAGATTGAGAATTATTGAAAAACTCAGAGCATTGAAGAAGGAAACCTCAACATTTGTCGGGAGATCCATCAAACTTATCCAGTTTACTGACAGGAAAAGCCAGCATACTACTCACTGAAACAGTATCGCTAGGGACAGAAACTGCGGCAGAAAAAGGAGCAGGTGAAGAGACTGAGAGATTTCTCAATTGTGTGGTGATATCTTTGAAACTGGGCCTGCTGTTCGGCTTGTTGTTGTGTGAGGTCACCGAGAGACTGGGTAACACCACCAACACCTGCTGGTAATGTCCCAGAAGCTGACCTTGGTTGCTCAGGACCTTCTGACCAGCCTCTGTGTCTGCCGTCTGCATGAAGGAGAAATACCCTAAAATGGTGGCAGATGGAAGACTTAAGATGACTTAAGAGCTTTAATGTCAAACGGATGATCCAAAACTACAGTCAAAAACAAAGTCGAAAACCAGAGATTGAAAATTGAGCAGAGGGGCAAGGCAAAAAAAAAAGGTAATAAACGTAATACAGGTCATACACGAAAATGAGACAACACATGAGAAAAACGCTCAGTATGTGTGACAAGGTGATTATACTTCACAAAGTATGGTTGCAAACAGACTGATTATATACACAGAGAAACAGGTGTGAGTGACTTAGAAATTTGGAGAAGCAGAGCGGTTGATAAGTGGACTGGGTCCCGAGTCACTTGATGAAGCGAGGGGTTCTGGGAACTGTAGTCTCAGGCGGCTGCCTTGGCTGTAGTTTTAGCTGGGCTATATCCCACTGGCATACACTCATACCAAGTTTTCTAGCTAAGCTGTTACAGTTTTCATGACAATGCTTCAGAATCAGCTCTTGCAGGACAGAGACTTCTGGGCTTCTGTCTTTCTCATCATAAAAAGGTCCCTGAATACAGTCCAAGACCTAAACATTTCTGAAATTAACTTGGGAGTTCTTTGGGGATCTGGCCTTCTAGCAGAAGCCTCTCAAAACTCCAGCCCAAATTCTCAGAGTTCTCTTCCTCAATCAGTCTCCATTCATACTACCATCATATGCTGAAGGCACAGTCCAAACTTACAAAATGGAGTTATGGAATAACTGAAATTTGGGGGGAGGACCGTGCCTGAAACTCCAGCTCGTTCCAATCTAAACCTCTATAAATTGCCATTTCTACCTTCTTTTCCCCATGGTAAAGTTTTTGCAGTCCCCACTACCACCCCCCATCTCTTATCCTGCTACTCAGTCCTATGTCAGTCCTACCACAATTAAAAAGGGGTGGAGGGTCTAGCCTTCTAGCTTGAGATAAAAGCTGCCCAGAACTCCAGCCCAAGGTCTCAGAATTCTTCCCCTTTCCTCAAATCAGTCTTACATCATACTAGTACCATATGTTGAAGGCACAGTCCATACTTGCAGAATGCAAATTCACAGGGGAAACAGTTTGTCAATAACATTCAGAAATGCTGCCAACTTCTCTGGGCTTGAGCTCATTTAAAATAGATTAATGCACAGTGGAAACATGTAGTCTGATGAGACAACTTTTCAGATTGTTTATGGAAATAATGGACATTGTTTTCCCTGGGCCAAAGAAGTAAAAGGCTATCCAGACTGTTCCCAGCATAAAGTTCAAAAGTCAGGGTCTGTTGTGATACGATAGTGTATTGCTGCCCATGGAAGGGTAACTTGCTTATCTGTGAAAGCACCATTAATGCTGAAAGATATGTACACATTTTGAAGCAACTTATTCTGCCTTTTAGACATCATCTTTTTCAAGGACATACACTGTTTGGCCAAAAGTACTGGGACACACCTCTTAATCATTGAATTCAGGTGTCTCATTCAGTCCCATTGCCACAATTGTACAAAGCACCTAGCCATGGAGGCTGCCTTTACAAACATTTATGACCTTCTAAAGAGGTCTCTAAATTCAAGCATCATACTGTATTAGGATACCACTGTTACAACAAGTCCATTTGCAGAATTTATCCTAGACATTCCACAATTAACTGTGAGTGGTATTAATGAAAAGTAGAAGTGTTTAGGAACCACAGCAACACAAAGTGGCAGACCATGTAAAGTTACAGAGTCGGATTGTCGAGTGCTGATGTGCATTATGCATAAGTCGCCAACACTTTGCTGACTTAATAACTGCAGAGTTCCAAACCTACTCTGGCATTAACATCAGCACAGAAACTGTGCACTGGGCACTTCAAGGCATGGGTTTCCATGGCTGAGCAGCTGCACACAAACCTTACATCACCATGAACAATGGCAAGCTTTGGATGGAGTGGATGCACCTTGTCTGCCACTGGACTCGGGAGCAGTCGGAATGCATTCTGTGGAGTGATAAATCACGCTTCTCTATCTGGCAGTCTGATGGATGAGCCTCTGTTTGGTGAATGCCAGGAGCCATGTGCAAACTGTAAAGTTTGGTGAAGGAGGGATAATGCTGTGGGGTTGTTTTTCAGGGGTTGGTCTAGGCCCCTTAGTTTCAGTGAAGGGAAATCTTAATGCTTCAGCATACCGAGATATTTTGGAGAACTCTATGCTTCCAACTTTGTGAGAACAGTTTGGAGAAGACCCTGTTGTGTTCCAGCATGACTGTGGCCCAGTGCACAAAGCTCCATAAAGATCCATAAAGGCATGGTTAGGTGAGTTTGGTGTGAAAGAACTTGACTGGCCCACACAGAGCCCTGAGCTCAACCTTACTGAACACCTTTGGGATGAAGTAAAGAGTGCGAGCCAGGCCCTCTTGTCCCCAACATCAGCATCTGACCTCACAAATGCTCTTCTGGCTGAATGGGCAAAAATTCCCACAGACAAACCAGGGGGGAATAAACTCCATATTAATGCCTATGAATTTAGAATGGGATGTCATAAAATCTCCTCTAGGTGTAATGAGTAGATCCCAATACTTTTGTTCATATAACATACATGCTCATTTCAACATGAGACGTAAAGAAACATTCTGCATGTGTTACAACAGCATGGGTGCATAATCAGAGAACGCAGGTTGTGTGCTTGCAAGTCCAAAATATGACAAATAAGGTGCCACATAGCAGCTGTAACGGGTCAAGGCCACTTAAACCACCTATTTTCCCACTCATCATAAAACCCAGCTACTTAAGTTAAAATCAGATTGTGGTTCTCCTGTAATGTATTATATATATCCAGGGATATATTTTGATAGAACTGTGATAATTACATACACAGAACCACAAGTGATAACTAATAAAGGGTCATTTATTGATAAAACACTAAATGATAGATTACTAAATGTATATAGGCATGAAATGTTTATTAATAGGTATGTAGAGAAATGAAATTCACCAGATAAACATATTGTAATTAGACTCAAAATGGTTACTTTTTAATGTTTGAGCAGTACGCAGAACAGAATACTAACACTAGCGTAAGACTGACGTAAGTTTGAAAAAGGGGCGGGGGATGGGGGGGGGGCAAATGGCCAGAGACTGAACCATATAGCTTAAGAAGCCAGAGTATAACCTTACAGCCTTGATGCTTCAGAAAGAGAGCCATGGTGACGCATGTGCTGCATTGAGAAGGAGCAGCGGCCTGCGTGCATAGGGTGGAGAAGGGTCGTGCGACAGGTGGTGAGGGGAGGTGGATGTGACTGGGGATGTGGGAGCAGAGCATCTGACTGGACCCGGATGGGCAAGGCAGGCAGGCTCGTGTTGGCCTCTGATGAGGAAGGCAGGCTCTCCAGTTTGCTTGCAATGGTTGGCTGCTGAAGTCAAACTTTCAAAATGAAACAACAGAACTTGAAAACTGAGACACGAAACAAAAATACTTAAAGTTGAAAATCACATGACAATTCAAAAGAAAACATATATACAGTTGAAAACATATGGATTTCATAACATGAATATTGAGAATAAATGAAAAACTGTTAAGAATGATTAAAGATTGGGTTACAATTCAAGAATGAAATAAATTTAAAATGGTAGTGAGTCTTAGTATTACTTCACATCTGCCAATGCTACATGTGACGCCAGGTTTTGATTTACACATTGTTTGTTTGTAATTGTTTAACAGGGAAAAAGTTATTTTCCAAGTTAATGAAGGAGAGTCATTCAATTTGCAAAGAATTTACAATGGCTGTTTTCCCCAAAAAAGGGTATTGTGAGGGTTAATTAAGTTGGACTGGCCATCTGGTGGGCCAGGTGTCCTCTCCTGGGTGGAGATACACTCAGTCTTATTTAAGGGTGTTGGCAGAGGGACTTGGCAGAGGGACTTGGTGATGGGTGGTGTTATCTTGGCCTTTCTTATTTGTTTTTGAGGCCAGGGGTCTTCCTCTGTAAGGAGAGGTGTGTTTGGTGTGTGTAAATGAGGGGGGTTTGAGAGTAACCTCAGGCCCATCAGACAATCACCAGGCATCCTGGTGCCTGGGGGATAGTTCTTTGGTGTCTCAAGTGACAAAGATTCATCTTTTTCCAAAAAGTTTAAGAATTAAAAATAGCCAAATTCATTACACTGTGCAGCTGAAGACTTGTATAACTGAAGAATGGAAAACAATTACACTACAATTACACAACTGGTCTCTTCAGTCCCCAAATAATTAAGTCAAAAGGAAAAGTGATGACATACTTCTGTCCCAACTTTTTTGGAACATGTTGCAGGCATAATATTTGGAACGATCATAAATTTACCAAAAAATTAAAAAAATAAAATTCATCAAATATCATGATTTTATACTGTTTTTAATTATATTAAATTTCTCACAAGTGTCTTGTTTATAGAGTTTGTCTGCTGACTCTGTTTCTCTCAATGATTAATGGTTTCACTTATGAGGCAATGTTTCAAAATGCTGGTTTTCTGTTTCCACTAGGTGCGTGTGGAATTCACAGAAACGGAGAATGTCTGCAGCGCAGCCAGCAAGAAGGGCAAGTATCGCACCACAGTTAATGTTGAAGCACAGTCCTCCAGATCCATCTCATACATTATTATTCCCATGGAGCTGGGCAACCACTGGATTGAGGTGAAGGCTGCAGCCCTTGGTTCACCAGCCAGTGACGGAGTAAAGAAGGCACTGAAGGTGGTGGTGAGTGTCAGTTCAAGAGTGTCAACATTCTTCACAGTGAGGTTCAGAGAATGTCATTCAGCATGAGCCCTGGGCAGCAGGCTGAACTGATATTGGCTCAGTGTAGCTGAGTCTGTGGTACAGGATTACTTTCACAACAGTAATATACACGAACATAAAATTACAGATAACCTAAGGTAATCTGAAGTCAAGTTTGATGCTCAGTTTATTGTGTTTTTAAGGGAAACATACATAGAAAGACAGTCAACAGACATATTGTACAGCCCATTTCCTCCACCCACCCAAATTTGATGCTCACTATTTCCATTGAGATGACATAAAAACAATCATGAAAAAAAGACAACCAAATCCATTATGCTTTCTTCCAATTTTTCAGTCTGAAGGTGTGTTAACTACAATTGAGGAGAAGAATGTGGAGCTCAACCCCTCTAAAGTTCCTGGTGGGTATTTTGGTCATTTACACTACTTTGACCATTACATATTATCTCCAATTCACACTATATGAAGATTATGTACTCTAATTGATTTTGAGTATTCAGGTGCATAGATAAATATATGTCCTACTCTGTCTTTGTCTCTGTCTTTCTGTGAAAAGGTGGAGTTCAAGTTGTGCGTGTGAGGAGTGACGTACCATTATGGCAGATTCCAAACACTCCTGCAAATACATACATCACCTTGTCTGGTAACGTACAAGTAGACTGCTAAATGCAGATACTGAGATACACAATCAGGTCACAGGAATCCTGTACAGCAGATAAATCTTCAAATATTTGTCCAAATCCAACAGGACATTGTGTCTTAAACGTGTATTGGGTTTTGGCCCGCCTTCTTCTTTTAAGAGAATTTATCCTGCATCTTCCGCTGCTTTTAATTTTTCCCTTTTCTTTATTCATCACCACTTTCACTACCTTAAATTGTTTTTTAAACTGCCACACTTGATGGGGTCCATGAGACCCAAGCTTGTGATAAAACAGGACAAACAGTGAATCAATTCAGGAAACAGTTTACTGCAGCCTAAAGGACATCTGGTTTGTTTAGCCAAAAATATTTTTTTTTTATATGTGCATAAATAGAAGTTTTACAATTAAACAGTTAGCTGTTACGGTTAAAGAGCCAACATCATGCCACACTAGCACCGCACAACATGAAAATGAAATGCGGTGCAGTATGGAAAGTCTATCCACGCTAAAAAAATGCTGTTCAAAATCATTATTTGACAATATGTTTGTTAAAACAGAATATAAATTATAGCAGCTGGTTAATTTTATTGTATCAGATTATCTATGCAAAGGAGACCGGAGGGTGTGTGCCAACTACCGGGGTATCACACTGCTCAGCCTCCCTGGGAAAGTTTGTGCCAAGGTTCTGGAAAGGAGACTCCAACTGATAGTCGAACCTCAGATTAAGGAGAAACAATGTGGATTCCGTTCTGGCAATGGAACGATGGACGAGTTTTTACCCTCTCACAGATTGTTGAGGGGGCATAGGAGTTTGCCAACCCAGTCTGCATGTTTTTTGTGGACTTGGAGAAGGCTTATGACTGAGTTTCCCGAGATATCCTGTGGGAGTTCCTCCAGGAGTATGGGGTGCCGGGGCTACTACTCTGGACCATTCAATCTCTCTATGCCCAGAGTGAGAGTCAAGCTTGTTCAGTTTTAGTGTTGGACTTCGCCAAGGTTGTGCCTGGTCTCCACTCGTGTTTATGATATTTATGGACAGGGTGTCAAGGCGTAGCCAAGGTCAGGAGGGCATTATGTGTGGAGGCCGGAAGGTGGTGCTATTTGTGGCTGATGTTCTTCTTTTGGCTGGATCTCATGGTTGCCTCCAGCGCTCACTGGACCAGTTTGAGTGTGAAGCAGTTGTTATGCGGATCAGCACATATCTGAGTACATGGTCCTAACCCTAAAAAAGATGGCATGCCCACTCCAGGTAAGGGGAAAGGACCTGCGGTGGGGAAGTTTAAGTTTCTCGGGGTCTTGTTCACAAGTGATGGGAAGAAGGATTGTGAGATCGGCCGCAGGCTGGGTCAGGCGGCAGCAGTAATGCGATCACTGTACCAGACTGTAGTGGTGCTCTCTATTTATTCTCCTAACTATTACTACTACTACTGTTAATATTAGTAGTATAATAATTTTGTAGGTAGTTTGACCAGAGGAGGATGGGTCCCCCCTTGTGAGCCTTGGTTCCTCCCAAGGTTTCTTCCTCAGCTCTGAGGGAGTTTTTCCTTGCCACCGTCACCCCTGGCTTGCTCACCTGGAGGATTTACATTTCATGTTGAAACTTTGTCCTAAATGGATTTCTGTGAAGCTGCTTTGTGACAACATCAGTTGTAAAAAGCGCTATACAAATAAATTTGACTTGACTATTTACTGGTCAGTCTACATCCCAACCCTCACCTATGGTCAAGAGCTGTGGGTAATGACCAAAAGAATAAGATTGTGAATACAAGCGGCGTGAATGAGCCTTCGTCGCAGGGTGATAGGGTGCAGAGCATGTTCATCCGGGAGGAGCTCAGGGTAGAGCCACTACTCCTCTGCATTGAGATGAGCCAGTTGAAGTGGTTCGGGCATCTGTTTAGGATGCCCCCTGGATGCCTCCCGGTGGGGGTTTACCAGGCATGGCCCACTGGGACGAGACCCCGGGGTCGTCCTATGACCCGATGGAGGGATTATATCTCCAAGTTGGCCTGGGAGTGGCTTGGGGTCCCCCAGAATGAGCTGGAGAAAGTTGCGGGGGACAGGGTTGTCTGGGATTCTCTGCTCTTCCAACTGCTACCGCAACCCTATCTGGACTAAAGATAATGATAATGATGATGATGATGATGATGATGATGATATTATCTATGCTGTATGTTTAAGTTATCCATGCTGTAATGACGGGCATTATTGACACAAAACTAGGGATGTCCAATTGTATAAGCAAAGGGCAGGTGTGGCTGCAGATTTTCATTCCAAGAAAGCAGGGGCACACATGATCACTTGTTTGAAGATTAAAACTAATTGGACCAGTGGAATCATGTGTACTCCTATTTGTCTAAAGTGAAAACCTGCAGTCACACCAGCTCTCCATGAATAAGACTTGGCAAACCTGCACTACACAGTAACCGCCGCTGGTCTGTCAGGTTTTATTCAACAATTTGGACTCATTTTTTGGACAGAATTTTGTTATACTTGGGTAAGTTTTGGACTTGATTTTGGACATGATATGGTTCCTGTCAGGTCTGGACAGAATTGTGTCAGGGTCAGGTTGGGTTTTGACTCAAAATGTGATGCTACGCGTCAGTTCAGCTTGAGCTCAGACAGAAAATTCTTGGGCTGTATTCAGGTTTGGACCGAAATTTCAGGCCAGAATAAAGTTCTGATGGGTCACCAATGTTTTTGCATATATGAACTTGATTTCACTTATTTAATCAGCTGGTGTGCTCCTGCTTGGTTGAAATGTAAACCTTCAGTCACACCACTACTTTGCAGACAAGAGCCTGGCTAAACAGGAACATATGCAAGCAATATGCATTGGACACTCCAAAGCAGAAGAACTAGTGGTGGAACACAGCAATCCTAAGATCACGTGGGATATCTGGATCCGGACAGAAAAACAAATGCAATAAACATAAATGCTAGCGATCCCAAAAAGTGGTATCAGAAAGATGGCATATCAGAATCTGGAGGTATACTTAGCATTAAAGGAGAAACTAGTGAGAATGTAGAAGGTTAAAAATGAAGTTGTCCCATTCGTGATAGGAAATGAAAACATTGATTTCAGTCCTGAAGATCAAAATAGTAAAAAAAAACTATAGTTTAAAAAGAACAAAAAGGGTTCCTTAAAATCTATACATTCATCCAACTACTCCTACTATCCATTTTTTGCTTTCTTTCAGGTCAGGAGGTGAGTCAGACAATTGAGCAGGCCATCAGCGGTGACTTCATGGGGCGTCTGATTGTGCAACCTGGTGGCTGTGGAGAACAGACCATGATCTCCATGACATTGCCCCTCATTGCCACACAGTACCTGGACACCACCAAGCAGTGGGAGGGAGTGGGCGTCCACCGTCGTGCCGAAGCGGTCAGACATATCCAGACAGGTGAGAAGTCATCCCCAGCATTTCAATAACATAGGGATAATATTCTGTTTTGGGATTTTATAAGGATAAAAGACATGCTGGCAACAAAACATATTTTACATGTAAATCATAATATATGTCACTAAATGTAGGAATAACCTTAGAAACAGCAGATATTTTGCATGCATTTAGTTTACCTTTTTCTAAAATGGTGAGCAAAAGGTAAATTGTGAAAATGCTAATTAGGTGATGGGATTTTAGTGTTGTTAGTCAGTGTTTGTTCAATGCTATCACTTTTCTTTGCTCGTCAGGGACAAATTCCTGTGTATAACTGAAAATGGGGTTCTGGGATGCTGTTGCATTGCCTGATTAAGATGTTTTTTGAACAATTCGCAGTGTTCTTAGTCAGAAAATGTGTTGTATATTTAAAAAAAAAAAATCAAATTGGTAAGGTAAAAAATTAAATATCTTGTCTTCATAAGGTTTACATTTAAATACAAGTCAAAAAATTGAATTACAAATCACTGCTTCATGTTTTATTTGCATTTCACCAACTGTCCCAACTTTTTGGGAACTGAGGTTTGTAATATTTAAAATTACTCTGTGCAAAATCTAAGATCAGATAAAAAGATGTTCACACATGTTTTGTACAGATGTGCACTCACATAAAGATAATCTTAAAGGTAACATGCAGTATCATCTGATAAGGTTCTAAACTTAAAGTTTTGAAGTGAAATAATGTGGAAATGATCATTTATGGTAATCCTACAAAACACTTGGGAATCTGAAGATAAGTAAGAGCTGTCATAATTCTTTTATGCCACTGAGACTGATGTCTCTCTCTGCTTTTAGGTTATGAACAAGAGCTGACTTACCGTAAAGAGGATGGATCCTATGCCGCTTGGATAAACAGGCCGAGCAGCACATGGTAAAAAGATATATATGCATGAGACTTACTGCTTCTCTTCTCTCTGAATAATTCTGCCATATTCCTCCATGCTCATCACTAATTCATTTCTAATTGATGGTCCATGTTTCCTGTTTGTTCATCTCTGTGGTAAAGGCTGACGGCGTATGTGGCCAAAGTCTTCGCCATGGCCAGCAGCCTCATTCCCATTCAGGAGAATGTTCTCTGCAGCGCTCTTAAGTGGCTGGTTCTGAACGCACAGATGCCAGATGGCATGTTTAAAGAAAATGCTCCTGTGATCCATGGGGAGATGGTCGTAAGTTGAAATCACCTTTTGCTTTCGGCTAATTATATTTCCTTTAATAAATATATATTTTATTAACAAATAGTAGTTTACTGAAATTCAGTGTTTTAGTGGAGACTTTTCTCTGTAATTCCAGGGAGATGTGCAAGGAAAGGATGCGGATGCATCTCTGACAGCATTTGTCCTGATTGCCATGCAAGAAGGAAGTGAACTTTGTGCCAAGTCTTTCCCTGTAAGTCAAATTTGATGTGTGAAAACCAATTTGCTATATACAAAAATGAAAAAAAAAAAAACATTGTTGTCATTTTCTTTTTCGTTTTATTCACTTAGAGTCTTGCACAGAGTATGCAGAAGGCCATTGAGTATCTGGAACGCAGAATTCCCACATTGACAAATCCTTATGCTGTTTCTATGACTTCCTATGCCATGGCCAATGCTGGCAAATTCAACAAAGCTCTCCTGATGAGGTATTCCTCTGGAGGTCAGTGAAGCTCAAATGAATGAAATGGTTTCGGCAACACCTGTATAGACTGAAAATTAAACACTGAGAAGAAACATAAAGTAACTAATAATTTGCAAGTAGTTCAGAGACAAACGTGGTTGTGCTCTACAGCTGCTTTTTTCCTCATGAACAGATGGTGCTTATTGGGAAGTCTCTGGAGGACACCACTTCTCCCTGGAAGCCACAGGTTATGCTCTGCTGGCTCTGGTAAAGGCGAAGGAGTTTGACGCAGCAGGGAAAGCAGTGAACTGGCTCAACAGGCAGACCAGTCCTTATGGAAGTAGTGGCACCACGCAGGTAGGCCATACTCATGCCACTGATACCCTGATACCACATTTAGTGCCTAATCCTAAATTAAAAGTGATGCCAAGTGAGGCCTAAACATTTCAAAATGCACATTTAGAAAAAAACCCAAGTGCAAAAAGCAGGGATGCACCAATTTGGGAATTCTGGAATGCTAATACCGATACACACACACAGTAAATGTAGAAACTGGAATTAGCTGTACCTTAATTAGTATTATCGACATTTATACGTATATGCTTTGTTTAAGCCTGCTCATTATGTTTCGGTACAGAAAGTTCACTAGATAGCTATGTGTGAACAGATTTTCAGGAAAAGCTGATGGCATTTGTTTACATGAAAACTACTTTCAGGTTAAGTGTCTAATTAATCAGTACATAGCTAACTAGCTAGTGTGTGTAACTCTGTGACAGGATTAGCCGAATATTCAATAGTTTTTGAAGTAGCTGCTAAACATGTTTAATTAATAGAAACTGACACAGCTTAGAATATTCCAGTGACTAACATTATTAATGTAACATGATAAGCTTTAGTATGTTAGTAAAAGGAATGTTAGCTCATTCTGACATATCACTTACAGTGTAAACTGCACATTCTCAGGGGTTAATTGGGGTCTTTTTGCAGAACACTAGCATGGAGGGAAAGCTGTTTAATCTATTCGAAAACGTGTCTGGGATAAATCATCTTTAATGCCACTTAATAACCTCACTAAGGAAAGCATTCTACGATCTGGCCTTAGCGTTACTAGCTCCTTTATGTGGATTCTCTGGCAAAACTTTTTAAAAAGTCAAAACTGACTTACAGTTTTGGAATATTTTACAGATTTCAATGGAAGCTAAAATTGGTGTGGTCAGGATGTCTGTTTTGCCCTGATTTATTTATTTTTTCATTCTTTGTTACCATGCATTCCACCTCCTACATTTTTTGATGAGGCTAATTCATTGATATCTAACTTTGTATGGGGTGGTAAACGAGCCAGAATTAGTACTTCAGCACTCCAACACTAAATTGGAAGGTGGCCTTGACCTACACATAAATTCTATTACTGGGCTTTCCAAATCAGGGCTACGAGAATCTGGATGAATACTCAGTCTTAAGTGCCATGGAGAGGCAATGAAGCTAATTTCTTCTATCCTCATAGACTTCAAGATCTTCCCTTTACAGGATTAGGATGCCAAAATGGCATGAATTTAGTAGTATTATATCATCTACTTTATCAACATGGCTTAGTGCTGAAAAGGCAATGGGTTACTCAAAAAACTCTCGTTACAATCCCCTCTTTGGCATAAATGCCCATCTGTTATCAGGTGGCCAATCCTTTACTTGCTCCTCTTGGTCTTCAAAGGGCATTTTCACATTTGCAGATATTTTTGACTGCAATGGCTGAATAGCCTGGAACATGCGAAAAACAGAATATTTTCTTCCAGACACCTCTTTTATATGTATTTAATGTTATGTATTTAAATTGAGATCTGCATTGAAAGCTTATGGTGTACCTTGGAACTGTGCTTTAGCTTCTCATCCAATGTTAATTTTGATTCAAGACACTGGAAGCTCACAAACTGTCATCACTCTCATCTATAAGAAACTACTTGAAAGCTCCAAGATCTTAACCCTTTTTTTTGACTTCCACTTTATTTCCTACCATTCTCTTTTTTCCCCTGTGTGTATATTGCATATTGTTGGTTATGTTATATTCTTAAATAATGAATGATAAAAAATTATAATCAGAAAAAAAGAAATCAGCCAAGACATCAGAAAAAGAATTGTGGACCTCCACAAGTCAAATACATCCTTGGGAGCAATTTCCAAATGCCTGAAGCTATCACCTTCAACTGTTCAAAAGGCAAGTTTAAACACCATGGGACCATGCAGCCATCATACCATTCAGGAAGGAGACATGTTCTGTCTCCTTGAGATAAACAGACCTTTTTGCAAAAATACAAATCACTCCAAGAACAACAGCAAATGACCTTGTGGAGATTCTGGAGGAAACAGATACAAAAGATTCTATATCAACAGTGAAATGTGTCCTATATTGACATGACCTGAAAGGCCACTCCAAAACTGCCATAAAAAAGCCAGGCTACAGTTTGCAACTGTACATGGAGACAACAGTCTTACTTTCTGGAGAAAGGTCCTCTGGTCTAATGATACAAAAATGGAACTGTTTGGCCATAATGACCATCGTTATGTAAAGAGGAGAAAGGGAGGCTTGCAAGCCAAAGAACAACTGTGAAGCATGGGGTGGCAGCATCATGTTGTGGGGTTGCTTTGCTGCAGGTAGGACTTGTGCACTTCACAAAATAGATGGCATTATGAGGAAGGAAAATTATGTGGAGATACTGAAGCCACATTTTAAGACATCAGCCAGGAAGTAAAAGCTTGGCCAAAAATGGGTCTTCTAAATGAACAATGACCCCAAGCATACTTCCAAAGCTGTGACAAAACAGCCTAAGAACAACAAAGTGAAGGTAATGGAGTGGCCATCACTAGTAGTAAGTAAGTAAGTAAAGTTTATTTATATAGCGCTTTTTACAACAGGTGTTGTCACAAAGCAGCTTTACAAGGAAATGAGCATTACAAAAAGAAGTCCGGGTCCGAGCCCCCATGAGCAAGCCAGTGGCGACAGTGGCAAGGAAAAAAAAAACTCCCTAAGAGAAACAGGAAGAAACCTTGAGAGGAACCAGGACTCAGAAGGGGAACCCATCCTCCTCTGGTCGACACCGGATAGTAAACATTGTTAGTATAAAGTATTATAGTACAAAAAACAGGGTAAAACGTGAAGGAAACAATTAATTTGAATAGTTCAGTTCATGCAGCAGAAGCAGCAGCATCAGTGGGGTCAGGTTGTGAGGGTGAGGTTTGCACCCGATCAAGGCAGCAGAGGCAGCAGCATCAGCAGCAGGATGGGCAGCTGTTCAACTCGGCAAAAGAAAGAGAGGAAAAACACAGTCAATGGGTGATTGATTAATTTGAATTAGTTTGAATGATTGATTGGTTCAAGTGAATAATTTTGAATAGTTCATGCAGCAACAGCAGTAGTATCAGTGGGGTCAGGTTGTGAGGGTGAGGTTTGCACGGCGTTGAACAGCAGGAGGCTCAATGTTGGTAACCCGGTCCAGAGGGCTGGCGAGCAGTGGCACCCGATCGAGGCAGAAAAGGCAGCAGCATCAGAACGCACAGGACGGGCAGCTGTTCAACTCGGCGAAGAAAAGAAAGGAAAACACACAGAGAGGAAAACACACAGAGTTAGTTCTGTAATGGGTGACCGATCACAAATTACAGTGTTAGCAGAGACTCTGGCAGGTATAGAACTAACAGGGAAAACTAATTACCAAAGGCTTGAATATACAAGTAGGTTTTTAGCCTAGACTTAAAGACTGAGGCTGTGTCTGAGTCCCGAACATTAACAGGAAGACTATTCCAAAGCTGGGGGGCTTTGTATGAGAAAGCTCTCCCCCCTGACATAACTTTATTAATTCTGGGTACTAATAGTAAGCCAGCACCTTGTGATCTAAGTAGGCGCGATGGTTCATAGTGAGAGAGAAGTTCACTCAGGTACAGCGGGGCGAGTCCGTTTAGTGCTTTATAAGTCAGCAAGAGAATTTTATAATCAATCCGAAATTTTACTGGCAACCAGTGTAAGGCTGATAAAACTGGGCTGATATGGTCAAACTTTCTGGTTCTAGTAAGAACTCTGGCTGCAGCGTTCTGGACCAGCTGAAGCTTGTTAATGCTTTTGCTAGGACATCCAGCCAGCAGGGCATTACAGTAATCTAGCCTTGAAGTAATAAATGCATGAACTAACTTTTCTGCATCCTGTAGAGATAATGCATTTCTCAATTTAGCAATATTGCGAAGATGCAGGAAGGCTGTTCTAGTAATATTAGTTATATGTGTGTCGAAGGACAGATCAGGGTCTATAATGACACCAAGGTTTTTTACATATGAGCTTGATGCAACTGAGAAATTGTTAAGTTTAAGTGTTAGATTAGACAGTTTGTTTCTGGCTGCTTTTGGACCAAGAAGCAGAACCTCTGTTTTATCTGAGTTTAGAAGGAGAAAGTTACTCGACATCCAGTCTTTTATGTCTTGTATACAGTCTTCGATCTTGCTAAGTTTAATTCTATCATCTGGGTCGCTTGCTAAATATAACTGAGTGTCATCGGCATAGCAGTGGAAGTTTATGCCGTGTC